TTACTAGGTTTCTAGCAATCTCTAAGGCCTCCTCAATAGAGGTTGCCTTTGGTGTTTTCCCTACTGTAGGGTATCTTGGCACTGCTCCAATAAATGGAGAAAAATTGCTTCTTGTCCTAGTATGGGTAGGCCTAGGCGGTTCTTCTGGTTGCCTGTTAGGGCACGGCGTAGGGGCCTCCTTAGCCATCTCGATTTCTGGATTATTATCCATTAGTCGTTTGCTTGTGCCTCTAAGGTCCTTTGAGGCTAGTCTTTTTTTGTTATTTTTATTGTTTGATATGTCTGTGTTTCTTGCTAAATTTGAGCTTTAATAAGCTCCTGCGTTCCTATTGGCCCCTCTAGTCTTGGCATTAGAGCCCAAGCTCTGTGAGAAAATTCTCACAGGCGTGAGAAAACGAAGGAAGGCCTCCTTCTTCTCCCTACTGCGCGCTAGCGCCTTAGCTGCAGGTGTTAAAAGTGCTGTTAGTCGATTCCTCGTGGTCGGTTCTCCTAGATAGCGTGCTTTCCTAGCGGTTTCCAGAAAACTCGAAGTTGGTGTTGTAGCAAAACATATAGATTCTGTGCTTACGAGCGGTATTCTGTTGCGGCTTTAGCACCGGAGAATTTTCCGAAGCGTATGGAGAGAAGGGCGAGACGCGCGAGCAATAAAGTGGTTATGCCGCCTCAGGCTAGTTCGACGTCACTGTGACCGTAGTACCGCCATGCGCGTGTCATGCCGAGGATGTTAAAGTATCCAACTCATGCCCGAGTGCTGGTGGATTGCTGTTTCGATATTCTTCGTGTTGGAATGGACTAAAAGAGACGCGACGCCATAAGGAAAAAAGTTGGAAAGGCAATTCTTCGGCGGCATATACAAGGCAGGACACAGCCGTCCATTCACATGATGGATCTCAAAAGCGAAAAAACGATAGATGCCGACCCTTCATCGGCATCCGAAACGAATATGGATGTGGAGCGTGGAAGAGAGTCCAGGCGGAGACGAAGAAGCCCTTCATCCACGGGCACGACATCGACGGCGAACGAGGACGACGAATTCCACTGTGATGGCCACCGGCCCACCAGAAGGGAACTATGCGAGAGCATCTCTCAATCGCGGAGCCGACGCGGTCATTCACAAGAGGGAACAGCCGTATCCAGCGGCTTGAACCAGTCGCTGAGCCGCACCGTTTCTCGAAGAGATACCATTGTCTCGCGCATCCGCACACGACCAAGTGTACCGCCGTTTTCACACCCGCTGGCACATCAGCCGACAACGCCGGATTTCCTCGTCGACTTTGACGGCGACGACGACCCGTATCGGCCGCTCAACTGGCCGACCAAGAAGAAGATTCTGACGACAGCCTTGTACGGCCTTACGACCATGAGCGCGACCTGGGCTTCTGCCGCGTATTCGGTCGCCAACAAAGAGGTTGCCGAGGAGTTCCATGTGGGGAGACAGGTTGCTGTGCTGGGCACTACATTGTTCCTGTTTGGCTTCGGACTTGGGCCGCTGCTCTGGGCGCCGCTGTCCGAGGTGTATGGGCGGCGGATAGCAGTCTTGGTGCCTATGTTTGTAGCGACGTGCTTTAGCTTTGGGAGCGCCACAGCAAAGGACTTTCAGACACTGATGCTGACTCGCTTCTTCGGCGCCTTCTTTGGCAGTGCGCCCGTGACAAACACCGGAGGCGTCCTGGGCGACTTGTATACTCCTGCGTGGCGAGGCATGGCCATGGCCGGCTATGCCATGGCCGTCGTCGCAGGCCCATGTCTGGGCCCTATTGTTTCGGCTGCCTTCGTCGCCAACCCGTCGCTGGGCTGGCGCTGGACCTTGTACTTCACCGGCATCCTGCAAGCCACCATCCTCATTATTGACATCATCTTCATCGACGAGTGCTACCCGCCCAAGCTGCTCGTGTACAAGGCACGGCGTCTGCGCCACGAATCCGGCAACTGGGCGCTGCATGCCAAATTCGAGGAATGGGACGTCAGCATCAAGGAGCTGTCGCGGAAGTTTCTCGTTCGCCCGCTGCAGCTCATAGTAACGCCTATCTGCTTTCTCGTTGCGCTCTACGCCAGCTTCTGCTACGGCATCCTGTACATGCAGTTAGGCGGCGTCCCGTTTATCTTCGGCGAGATGCGAGGCTGGTCCCCACTCAACGCCACGCTGCCTTTCCTGGCCTCGTTGCTGGGCGCCATGATCGGCGGCAGCATCAACGCCTACAACCAGCTGCTCTACAACAAAGCCTACCACGCCGCGGGCGACCGCGCCGTCCCCGAAGCCCGTCTGCCGCCCATGATGCTGGGCTCCGTGCTCTTCTCCGCCGGCCAGTTCCTCATGGGGTGGACCGCAGACCCCAAGTTCCACTGGATCGTGCCCGTGATTGGGCTCCTCATGATCGGAACGGGCTTCTTTACCATTTTCCAGGCTTGCCTCAATTATCTCGTCGATACGTTTACCATGTATGCTGCGAGTGCAATCGCCGCCAATACCTTCCTGCGCAGTGCGTTTGCCGGCGCGTTTCCCCTCGTCGTGACCCCCATGTACCATAATATTGGCGTTGGGCCTGCGAGCAGTATCACGGGCGGCTTTGCCGCACTGCTGATTCCAGTGCCGTTTGTGTTTTATACCTACGGGAAGAGGATTAGGGCGGCGAGCAAGTGGAGTCGTGGGAGCGTATTTGACTAGTGTGGTGAGAAAAGTTTTAATAATAATGTCATGTGAAATTCATGTTGCGATGCATACGTTGATCAGAATCTTTTCGATCCGCATCTTCTCATTATTTCGGAACGTCTCGTTCCGCATGTGTACTTTCTGGTATCTATCTGAAGTGATCCATCCTTGAGCAGTCTTGCTTCTCTCCCATGCTCGCCATCTACAAACCTATCTCCCCAGATCTTGAGAATGAGGAAAACGAACTCGAGTATACTCGCGCCACCTCCCCCTTATGTTTTCACACCAAGCCACAAATCAAGGCGCTTGACACAGCATAGTCGCAACTTCTGGAAACACAGTCGCAAGGCGCTCGGGAAACGCATTCACATACGCGCCCCATGCATCCCGACACGGTCCACACAACTGCACGCCTCCGAACGCATACAGCGTCTTCTCCGCACAGTCAGTCTGGCGCAGACACTCGCGACACGTAATCTGGTTGTTCTCATCGAGGAAGTCGCCGAGTCCGTCAAACATGAGCTCGTCTTTGCGCGCAACCAAGTCCTTGTAGCGCTGCACATCGCGGGCGCTACCGCTGTTCTGAGCGCCAACGCGATTCCACAGCTTGACATGCTGGCGAGCTTGCTTGACGACGGTCACTGTCTCAGGTTTGCCGATAGTCAGGCCCTCTTCTACGAACCGGTAGCGGCGCATCACTGGAAGGCGGAGACGATGTTAGCGTAGCACAGTAAGAGCGGTATGTGTAATGTGTGATGAGGGGGAGTGTCAAACGTACTCATATGAATGGGTCCACCGAAGAAACGCAGAAAGTTGCTCAGCACAAGATGATCTGGTCGGCCGGCCCACGCCACGTCGAGGGCCCAGAGAGCCTCGCGGCATTGATGAAACGCGTGGATGCGCATGCTATCAGGGACATATGCAAATGTGGAATTCTAATGCCCATGAAAAACAACACAAGTCAGCGATTCAGCTCTGCAGATTTAAGAAAAAGAGGAATTGAGAGGTGAGGGTCCATCTCAGACATACCGTCTCGCCTTCAGAGCGGTGCTTGAAAAACGCAACGCTGTCGTATAGCGTGGCGCCCAGCTCATCCAGAATCTCAAGCTCCTCCTCGCTGTACCACACGTTGTCGAGGTCGTTGCATGCCAGCGCCGCACCAATGGTAAACCGGATCAAGGCGTCTGTGTCACGCATGCGGAACCACTGTCGCGGCGACTTTGCCAGCGCAGCGACATAGCGACGGAACAAGAGGCCGCCGCCACGTGAACTGGCTTTATCGCTCGTGACGAGGAGGAAGCAGCGGAATTCGCGGGCCATGTCTTTGCTACAAGTACATTGTCAGTCTCTTCTTGTTCTTCTCAAGGAAATAGGCCAAGATATCGCATTTCCCCTCGCCCGTTTTTCTTCAACGTGAATTCTCAAACTCCCAAAAAAACATCAACAGAAACACTTACTGGATTCTCGTGCCTCCAAACAGCTGCGCCAGAACACAGCTGAGATTATACCCCAGCACCTCATCGCTACCAGCGACATCAATCATGTCGCCCTTGTACTCGGCCACAATGCCGATGATGATGATGCGCATGAACGCTATGTACCGGTTCCAATTGGTGTACTGCGGAATAACACAGCGCGTGTATTCCCAGGCACAAGCGTAGATTTCTTCTTTGGCGCGCTGTGGAAGCGGGATGGCGGCGAGGTCGTTTGCGATTTCTGGAGGGTAGTCTGGAAGGGGGAGGGGGAGGTTAGTATTGAGGGAGGGAGTCTTGAGGGGGGGGGGGGTGTGTGGATATAGTGGGATATATGGTGACTTACACCATTTTTCTTGGATGGCGGGGACGACGTGGTCTGGTAATGCGGGTTTTGGTTGCGTGGAGGGGAGTGGAGTGGTGGAGACGAGAATCTAGGGGCTTGGTTAGGATGTTGTATGGTTGGAGAAAGGATGGAATAGAAGAGAGCAGAAGACGTACGGCTAGGACGTTATAATACGGCTTACCCAAGTGACGGAGGTAGCTCCATAGCTTGGTGGGAAGAATTGACTGCAGCATACTTGTTGGTGCTGAAGAGTCGGAATGGAATTCTATCAAGGCATTGCTGTTAGTAAGAGAACTTGACATGGACAAGTCTTTGGGACTCTTTCTCAGTATAGATGGCAATTTAGTTCCATCATGACCTCGTCAAAGCAACCCCACATACCGATATAAGTCAACAGAAAACGTCCAAGGAACCACAGAATGCTTGCAGCGTCGTGCTTTACAAGTCCGCGTACCGCACCTATCGAGTAGTACCCAAGTCGCACATGGGAAACCCCCCGTTCTTTTATATCACAAACAGCAGCAGAAAAGAAGAAAAAAAAATCCACCGTCGTAGTCTGCTCTTTGGCCCTCCGAGGCGAAAGTCGACCAAAGGATCGCACTTTTACTTAGCGCCTCACGGGAATGCCCAAAAAAGTGAAAACCCCCCAACCCCCATCTTACTCAGCTCATAGCGGCCAGGCATCAGCTTTCACCTTTCACCTTTGACCGTTTTTTTCTTTCTCTTGCTATCAAAGATACACCGCTATTTTGGGTCTAGGCGGGATTCAAGATGAGGGAATGTGAAGGGGCGGGTGTTGTCAGTAAGGCTGTGTGGCGTATACAAGTGGCCTAAGCTAACCCAATCGGGAAATAATTACAGGCAGAACCAAAGGGATGGCCGCCTTGGGGGATGGGGCGTAGGATGGCCATCCTACAGTGTGAAGGGGCCGAGATTGGGATGCCTGGGTGACGGGAATTTGGGAGCTCAAGCTGGCTATCGAGGTTGACTATGTTTACCAGCTGAGCGCTTATTGAGGCTGCAATTTCGTCGGCCCATTGCATACAAGCAGGGTCTCGCTCGTCACTGTCTTATCTTCATCCAGTGTCGAAGCAGAAGATGGATCCTGAATGTCCAGAAATACGCAAGGGTAAATCCTCCAGGCAAACCAAATGAAATGTATGACGTTGAACCGCGAGAATTTCCTCATGGACTCGGAGGATTCGAGGCTGTGTGTTTGTGTGGTGTCATCTGGCTTATTGTGAGCAAGAATCCTGCAGAGGCTGGCCGCAGCATGATACAGTCAGATGACATTACGGTGAATTCTGGTTTCTATAATCGTCTCGTCTACATTACAACACGTTATACTTGGAAGGCAACGCCGTCTCTCTTCACCACGGCCTTGCCCCCACTTGCAAACCCGGTGCCCTCGCTCCGTATCTCGACCAAGCCCGGCTTTGGGGCCTTTTCCTTGTCCTTCTTCTTCTTGCCATCCTTGGCGTCGGGTATTGTAGTGAGATCTGCATCGCAGACGTAGCAATGGACCGTCTCTGGGTCCGGCGCCTCGTCATGTGCATCTCGGTGATGCCGATGCTCTGGCTTGAGAAATTTGTCGACGCAGGGCTTGCAAAGGACGTGGCCGCAGGGTATAGCGAGCATGGCCTTTGTGCTGTTGGACAGCGCCTTTTGGCAACTTGGACATGTGCGGACCGACTTGGCGCTGTCTGGGGATTTTTCTTCGTGGAAGTTGACGCTGGTGAGGCCCTTTAAAGACAGACTGTGTGGCTGGTCTGGGGCGCTGCATGGGCACACGGGAGTGTTTTTGGCCTTTTCCGCAGTCTTGTGGTGCTGATCGGGCGTCTCGCCTGGTACCCAGAAACTCGGCAGATGGCCTTTTGCAGCTTTGCGCTCTTCGTCCAGGTTGCGCCTCGCTTTTCTTTGCTCTTCGCTCGCAATGCGCTTCAACTCATCCTCATCGAGTTCAAACTTTCGTTTTGTGCCTCTGCCCTCCCCGGCTTTGGCATCCATCTCTTCTTCGACCATGATTTTGCCGCCCTCTCTTCCCACCATCTTAGCCGACGCGCCCACCTTGACAGAAAGTCCTTGCTGTACAGCCTCAAACTCTTCCACTGCTCGTAGTCTGGCCTCCTCTTCCTCGCGCAGCCTTTGCTCTTCCTCGTCGACCTTTTGCCGCTCGTTGAGCTTTTCCAACCGCTTCATTTCTTTTCGCTGGGCTAGGAGATTTGTCATGGCACACTCGCGACAGAAGAGGTCGCCCTGTGAGCAGCATACTGGGTCCACTGATGGAAGGAGACAGAGCTGGCAGGAGCCGAATGGCAGAAACGAGTCACGTGTGAGGCGCGTCGCCTGTGAGCCCCATCTGTCCTTGAGCGCATTCCGCTCATACGAGGTGAATATGGTCTTTGGCGGGGGCATTCTGGTGGGCAAGTGTCTGCAATTATGGTGTGCAGTCAGAAAGTAGTGAGTAGGGGCAGATGGTCTCAGGCGTCCAGGGCTTGGAGAGGAGAGAGAGCTAAACAGAGAAGGAGTGGGAGCCAGCCACTCACCGCACGTGCCGGCCGCAATGCCAATACCGCTAATCCCTGTCAGCCAAAATTGCTGTTCCTGGCAGGCGGACGGAAGGTGACGTTGGTTTTGCAGTTGATCCGCTACCGGGCGCGAAATCTGCACTGCACATGTTGCCCAACATTCCGCAACACTCGCCATGCGACCAGAGGACCAGCCCGAGGCACCCAGCGGGCCATGGCGCGCCGCGTCCACCGTCGCAATGGGCGCCGTAGGCCTTTTGTGCAAGGGATTTCTCGCAGGGCTGAGCCGGGTGGAGACGCATGGCATGGACGACTTCTTGAAGCTGCTCGACGAGAGAGAGGCACCGGCAAAGAGGGAGAGGGGACTCATCACTGGTACGCCCGGGAAGAAGAGGGGCAATTCATTGTGGAGCGTGTGCTAATGGGCCTGCAGTGTCGAACCACATCTCCGTGTACGTACGTTTGCCATGAAGTCACGCCGTGCTGCCACGGACTGCGCTCATGCAATTGGAACAGGATGGATGATCCAATTCTCTGGGGCATACTCCCCATCAGCTACATGTTCAACCCAGACAACCTGCGGTGGGGACTTGGAAGCTACGATTTATGCTTCACCAACAAGTACGTTTGTGTACCCATGTCGGCGCGCCGCATGGCTAACGGCGGGACAGAGGGCTGTCGACTTTCTTCACGCTTGGCCAGGTGCTCCCCACGCATCGCTCAGCACATTCGCAGTATGGCGGTCTATTCCAGCCGACGATAACGCAAGCGATCCGCCTGCTCTCGCGCGGGCCCTTCCTATACGAGCAAGAGCCGCCCGAGAAGCCTGCGACGTCGCCCAAGAGCCCAGATCTCATTGATCCGTTCAGCAACGGGCACCTCAGTTTCTCGACCAATGGCTTGGACACGTTCCCAGCACCGTCGGCGTACCGCAGGCGGCGCCATGCGTGGGTTCATATATTTCCCGAGGGCATGATCCACCAGAGCGAGCAGCGCATCATGCGCTACTTCAAGTGGGGCGTGTCGCGGCTGATTTTGGAGAGCGAGCCGATGCCGGACGTGGTGCCCATCTTCGTCGAGGGCTTCGACAACATCATGCACGAGACGCGCACGTTTCCACGCTTCATCCCACGGCCCTTCCAAAACGTGCGCGTGACGTTTGGCGAGAAGCTCAACACGGAAGAGGTGTTTGGCGACCTGCGGGCGCGGTGGAAACAGCTGCAGGCCAGGGAGGCGCGCAAGGGCGAGCGGCTGGCCGTCGGGGTGCTCAACGACACGCTCCAGCACTCGGACGAGGCTGTCAGCATACGCAAGGAGTGCACACGGCGCATGCGACAGGCAGTGCTGGACGTCAGGCGGCAGCGGGGATACCCCGAAGACGACCCCAAGAACAGCCTTGCCGAGACGTGGCTGCGAGAGGGGCCTCGGCGCGAGGGTCGCAAGCAGGACAGCACCATCACGAGGGATGCGTAGGCGGGCGAGTGACGTATGTTGGATGCTGTGTATTGTATGGCCAGCTTGGACGCGCCGTCGAGCAGCGTGGAAAGTATGTACGTAGTAGGTTTGCGCGGCAAGCGTGTCAGATTAGATCAAGTAATTACACCATCAGCGACTCCTGATTGTGCGCGCCGATCAACCACAGCCGCCGCCCCAGACGGGCGGACGGGCGGGTTTCGTCGTTGCGGGCAGAAGCAGGGACGGCGTGTCCGTCAGTCTCTGGCGTGCTCGTGTATCGTCATCCACTGCGTGACGCCGGGCAGCATGCGCCGGCGAGGGCGAATGCGGCGAGGCTGTCCAGGGGTCGGGGAGAAGAAGAGGAGGAGGAGAGAGGAGAGAGGGAGGCAGGGCAGCGAGGGGGAGGGGGGGGGGCACTGACCAGGGGCAGGCTTGCGGGGGGGGGGGGCAGGCGG